GGGAAAAAGAAGGGCAGGATCTTTTTCTCCTTTCCATCAATAGCTTGTAATTGGAATTCTTGCTTCCCCTTCCTTCTGGCAGTGTTAGTGATGTGCACAGTGTTCAGGAAGTGCTGGGTAGCTCTCCTAATGATTGGGATTTGCAGTCTCGGTGTGTGGGTGGCCTGGTCTGTGGGATCTCAGCACAGTATGGTTCTGGGGAAAATGGTTGCATGTGGCTCACTGTGAGAGCTCACAGGCAGGGAGGGATTGCACCAGCAACAGCCTCACACAGGTCACTTGGCACCATACTGCAAGGTCTGTCCCAAGATGAAGGTTAGTTTTGTCAGCAAGTAGAGACTGTGAAGAAGGATTGCTCAGGGCCTGGTAGGCAGCAAACACTGTGCATGCTGTCTGGGGAAAGGATTGGGGTTTGTGAGTGCAGCCTGCTGTCACTGTTGGTGCTGCTGTGCTATGACATCCAGAAGTCTTTGTGCAGGTAAGTGGGTATAAGTTGTGGTTTGCACCCAGGGCTCCTAGAGGCAAGTGTTGGCAGGGCAGTTTTTTTCCATTCTGAACTGACACTGCTTGAGAAACTCTCCAGAAGGCTTTGCACTGAAAGCTGGGCCATGGAACTGGGGTCTTATTCCTTGTCAGGATTCCTTTCTGGAGACTGAGCTGGTGCAGAGCAGCACAGAAAGGCTTTGCTCGGGACGGACAGACAGCATCTTTGTAGCCTCACTTGGGGCCATAGGTGGTTCTGCTTGAGAAATGGGGCTTCTTTCTCCAGCCTCTGGGTGCCTGTGCAGCCCCACAGCTCGGTTAGCTGTCCCCTCTGCAGGCTGGGGACCACCTCCAGGGATGACATTCATCCTCACAGCATGCCTGTGCTTCCTGCATCATTCTTGGGCTCCTGCCTGTTTATGGCTGCCTGCAGTGTGAACTGCTTTGCTTCTGGCTGTAAAACGAGTTGCTCCTGATTTTTGGTGTTCTCTCTGCAGGAAGCCCAAGAAAGAGAAGACAGCCAATAAACCTGTGCAGGAAGCAGAGCCACTGAAGCGTAAGAAGAAAGGGTTCCTACCAGAGACCAAAAAACGTAAGAATCGCAAGAAAGCTGTCCGGGAGAATGGAGCAGCACCAGTAGCCAGTGAAGATGGAGACTCAGCAGCCCCAGAGGAGCAGCCAATGGGAACAGAAACCCCTGAGCAGAAAGACAACCGCCTGCCTGGTAGCAAGAAGCACAGGAAGAAGAACAGAGGGGTCAGAGAGAACGGGGTGGCAGTGGAGGGCAGCGGGAATGGAGCTGTTAATGGTGGAGATGCTGTGGCTGAGAAGAAGAGAAAGAAGAAGAGGAATAGAAAAAGAAAAGGTGATGTAGGCAATGAAGCTGAGCAGATTCCAGCTGCAAAGAAAGCCAAGGGAGATGTCAACCATGAGACCCAGCAGAAGCAGGGCAAAGCCAAGAAGAAAAGGAAAGAGAAAAAATCTGCCGTGCTGCAGGAGTAAATTTCAGGGACTCACCCTGGTCTGGCATGGCTAATGTGACTCAGAGGACTGTTTTAATATCTTTTATAACTATATTTTTATGCCCTCCTTGAATTGAAATAAACCTTCCGTGATGCCAAGCTCTGAAGCTGCAGGTCTGACTTGTGTAGAAGGTTCAGTTGCAGCACAGGGATCCATGTCCCCTCTGGCTCTGGCACTGCCAAACATCCCAAGCTCAGGAGCACAGACTCCATTTTTCTGTGATAACCCCAAGGCAGAAGAGGCTTGCCTGGATTCCTTGGGGATGTGGTAGGGGTGCTGACACTGCAGAGTTGTGTGGTTGAGCCCTGCAGGAGGCTCCCCTGAAGGGCTATTTCTGTCCTTAGGCTCTGCAGTACTTGCAGCTTTTCCAGTCTGGAAGATGCTGTCTGTTTTAAATGCCTGAGGGTTAAATGGGCTTGTACTTGCATATTCTGAGGTTAAATATATCCAATCTGAGCCACTCGGATGTCATCAGTAACTAGCATGGTGTTGCTTTTTTGCTTTCCCCTGCACAGCCCTCAGCTGCTGGGTGCAAGAGGGGGGATGTCCCTGCTGATAGCACAGGGATGTCAATAAAGCAGTGAAAACAATTGCAGTGGCTAATTGATTTGTTAGTTTGCCAGGCCAGCAGATTGTGCAGCCTCATCCCTCCTTTCCTCTCCCTGACCTGCTGACCACTGCTCTCTTAGAGGCTGGACCTGCAGGGCTGAGGCAGAGGGCCCAGCAGCAGAGCTGTTTCTGCAGTGCCTTTGGCTTTCTTCCTGCAGGTGGGTCTGTTCTACGCTGCATGGGTTATGGGCAAAGGAAATGTCATGTTGCTTTTGGAGGGAGGGAAGGGCTGTGTTTGCCCACGGCTGTTTATCTGCCTTTGCAGTGTCTTCTCTCAATGGCATCAGACTCCCCTGGAGGTGGCTGCTGGCAGCAATGCGATCCCATTCAGTTGCAGTGCCCTGGGAAGGCACAGTGCTCCTCTCACAGCAGCAATCGTGTGAGGTCTGCTGTGCATCCCAAGGAGTGAGCTGGCTTCTGGCAGCAGCAGGTAAGGGCTGGAGCTGCAGTGCCTGCCTGCTGGCAGGGCTCAGCAATGTCCTTTCTTTCCCTGTGTTTCACGTTCTGCCCTCACACCTCTTCCTGTGGAGGTAGCAGTGAGCAGCACTTTGTCTCTGGAAGGCACAGCCCGTGTCTGCCCTGGATGCAGAGAGAAGTGGACTGGAGCTGGGCTCTTCAAGCCTAACAGCATTTGGGCAGAGGCACAGACTGGAGGCTCAGGCTGCAGGTTGGCAGCTGTGATGATGCAGAACTTCAGCACCAATGTTTGCATTTCTATGCAGTTCTCCCACATCTGCAGTTTCCCCACCAACCAGTTCTGAGCAAATTAGGGTTGGGCTCATCTTGGCAGAGCTTTTCTCCCATTAATCTGGAGGTTACTGTGGGGTCTTGCTGCTGCTGCAGCCTGCAAAACTGCTGCCAGTTGTTGCCAGCTGGAATGTGGCAAGCTGCTGTAGTGCCTTGTTAGAAGCTCAGTCCCAGCTTAGCACCAGGACGTTGATGTGCCTCCTGATGGCCTGTGTGATGACTTTTCAAATATTATGCAAATGCAGCATATAAGAGGCCAGCAGGTCATGCACCTTTAATGATTTGGAGATGCTCGGAAGGGGAGCAGGAGTTTCAAAATGCATCTTCACTGATGATTTCTTTCCCTATTTCTCTAAGTAGAACATCCTGGGTCTTTGCAGCTCTGCAGAACTAGAGGAGAAGCAGTGTGCAGGTGTGGTGAACGGGAAGCAAGGTGAGCACAGGTACCTGGGTGTGGTGGGAGGACAGCTCTGGAGCCCACTGGGCTGACTCTTAGGATCATGTAGTAGAAGCTGAGCCTGGAGCTCTACATCAGCAGGGCCACCTGGAACAGTGCTGGGCTGTGCTGCACTGGGCTCCAGTTTTGGAAGAAGTGGGAAGGACGGCATGAGATGGAAGCTGTGCTGGCTCTTGTTTCTGACAGGTTGATTTTGTCTTCTTCCTCGCTCGCTCTGTTCACCTGTATGTTCAGCCTCCAGCCTTTGCACAGCAATCCAGGGGGAAAAGGGACAGGAAAGCTGTGAGGCATTGTGTGAGTTGTGGTTTGGTAACAATTGTACCACCAATTAAATTACCTGAGTTTAGTCTGGCTTTGATGCACTGTTTATAGAATGCAGTCTCTAATCCAGGCAAATTGTGTTTCACTGGTACTTATATCTGTCTTAAAGTTGCAAATGCTTTATTTTGCTTGATTTCATGTCCTGTCTGCTGCTGGACCTTTAGGGCTGTCAGGGGATAGGCTTTGATTTTAAGAAAGTCTTTCCAGCCATATTGGGCTTGGAAGCTCTTTGGCAGGAGGAGAGCTGAAGGGTTCTTCTAAATGCAAGAAAACAGCTGCAATCCCCAAAACTCAAGGAGCTCTCCTGACTGTTGTCCCAGGCAGGTGGAACTGGGAGGAGCAGGGCTGTGTGAGGCTGTTTTAGTTGGTGTCCTCGTTGTTCAGTGCCTGCTACCCACAGGTGGTGTGAATGTGCACCTGCATGTCTGTGCTCCAAGAAGTAACCAGTATGGGCAGTTAGCTGTTGTTGGCTGATGGATGCTAAGGCTGCTGAGCTTCTGATCTTAGCTGTTGGAACATCAACATTTACAGAATCTCGCTTAAGTCCTTTGCACAGTACAATTGAGCTGAAAGCCTCAAGGGTCTCTGCCAAAAAGTGATCAGAGTTAATTTTTTAGGCAGACAAATCCTTTGCTAGCAGGAGGGCCTCCTAGCCTGGCACGTGCACTGTGCTGAAGGGAATGAGTGCAGAAGGGAGATGCTGCAGAGAACTGTAGGAGATGGAGGACTCTTCCAAAGCTGCTGAGAGGAGACACTTGGTTGCAGACATGCCTTGTTTGTGCTGCCAGTGCAGACCGGGGCAGGAGGGCAGGTTGTGCTGCAGCAGAGTGCTGCTAAAGCAGCAGAACCAAGCGACCATTGGCCCAGGGAGTTGGCAGTGGCTGATGCAGGATCGCTGAGGAATGGTGGTCTTGTTGCCTTGGGAATAATTTCCTGCCCTCCTTCCTACACGTCTTCCCAAATCTGCAGCTCCCAGCACGTTAGCCCTGTGTCAGTCAGAGCAGCCAGGGCTTTCACTTCTCACACGTTGCTGTGCAGTGAGGGCCTGGAGGAGGATGGAGCACGGTTCTGTCTCTGCCCACCACTCACTCCTTGTCAGCTCTGCTCCTGGGTTAGATCTAGGCAGCCAGCTGAGGGGGGCTGTCATCCACCAGCCCTTGTCTCCCTGTTCCCTGCTTGTGGTGTGGCTTTTAAACCAGCTCCAGGCAGGCAGTTGCTCAGGTGTGTTCACTGCAACCCATGTCAGAGTGCTTCTGGCAGGAGGTGGGGGCAACCTCATCCTAGGGACCAGCCCTACAGGCAGCAACCACAGGAGTGTGCAGTCAGATCAAGTGGTGATACAGGAGAGGCAGACAGGAGGTATGTTTTAAATACTTTTATTTCTTAATTTACATAAAGGTATAGATTTGGCTTATTTCTCTTCTTTTATACTCTGAGATTCACAATCAATTGCTCTTAAAAAATAAAATAGTCATTTGCTTCTGAAAGAAATCAGAAAACTATTTTATACTCCTCCTTGTATAACAAGAAAATATACTCCCATACATCACGTAGTAAAGGTGATAGTAAGCACTGGTTTACCAAACAATAAAGCAAACAGAGAAGACAACAGTTAGGGCAGAAGGTGCAGAGAACTCTGCTTTCCAGAGTACATCCATTCCTTTCATAGGATTCTGTCACCTGAGGTTCTCTCTTAGCCAGTTCTGTAAAAGGTGAGAGGCTGTTGGTTCCCCCACTCAGATTCTAGCTCCAAGTGACAGCAGCAGGAGGCAGTGTGGTTACTGGGCTTGGCAGCTTGCTGCTTTTCGGGTAATTTTCTTGCCTCTCTGTGCAGTTCCCATTACCTCTTCCTCTTGCTGTGTACAAACAGTCTAGTTGTTTCATAGCAAGTACATTGGTGCAAATGCAGTACTGGCTGCAGAGGGAGTTAATGCTTGCTTAAAAACAAAACCACACACCGTGCATGAAGTAAAGCAGAAGAAAGCTGTCATGATTCAAAAGGGCATCCTGGACCATCCCCTCTGGACAACCTATACCTGTGGGGTCAGGCACAGACCCTGATGCATGCAGCAAGGCTGCACCTAATACTCCAGGTCCCAGAGAGTGCAGGGAGGTCAGAAGGAGCCTTACTGCAAATCATCAGAGATGGGAGACCCTCAAGCAGAGAGGTGGGGAACAGGAGCAGCACTGGGGAAGGACCAGACAGAGCCCCAAGGAGTGGGGTGAGATGAAGCAGCACCCGCTGAAAACCTGTCTGCCTTTCCCCTCTCTTGGCTTTTCTTCTGAGGAGATGTACATGTGCTGGAATGGCAGGACATGAGTAGTAGTGCTTGCTCCCTTTTGGTGGTGTTTTCCCATGTTTTCAAATGCATTCAAGAGCTGCTTTTATGCACACTAATTTTCAGACATTCATATTAAGTCATTTTGTGTGCAGGAGATCAGGGGCTTTAAAAGTATTTGTGTTCTAATTGGAACTGTTTAATCTTATGTTGAAGTTTTGAATCTGAAACACAACATTGATGATGTAAGCAACTTGAGGTGATAGACTGGAATCTTGCTTCATTGGTTGTGGTGTGTACTAAAAGATAGGTATATAAAATCAATTACCTTTTCAAATTAACAGCCTTTCTTTAAAAAAACAAATACTAATTTTAATAAGAGCTGCTCTTCAGCTTTGATATAAGCAATGTCTTCAGTCTAAGTTCTCCTCCAGTTGCATACTGGCAGAAATGGGCCAACATCTTGGGATGGAGAATACTAAGTTAGAACCCAAGGAGGGGACATGGATGGCGACACAGGTCCAGTTTCTGTTTGATGACATGGACAGTTCATGCCCAGATTCAATGTACCTCTTCTTGTTGACTTAATCCTGCCGACCCTTGATCTAAGTGAGCTGCTTTCACTCCAATAGACCAAATACTTTTATAGGAGCTCTGACTGAACAATTCTTCCAGTTAGGAATACAAACAAGACACACTAAACAAGAAATCCAACCTTTCTGCTTTCAGCCATTAAAACATAGATCACAACATGTAAAGGGACAGCAGGATTCCTGTCCCTTCTCCTGTTCATCTTCATGAGCTATTCTGGTTGCTGCTTGGGCTTCTCTTGGTTAGCCTGGAACATGTGGGAGGGATTCAGGGATCTCTTGGCATGGGACTGCTACAAGTAGGACTTCCTTCTTACTCCCTTGCTTGCTCACATCCCTTTTTCCTTGTTAAAGAAGCATCCACAGCAATTTCCTTCATATACACAGAAGATAAAGCTGGCCTCCTGTAACAGTACTGTGCTTCTCCAGCAAGGCTTGGGTTTGGCACAAACAAGAAGAGATGGCAAAACTATAAAACACTTTGTTCCCTTTTCATTGTTGCCTTCAGAGAATTAAGTTTAAGGACAATTCTCGACCTCTGAACTTGATCAGGAATGCTTCATGTTGAAGTAAATTGACAGTAAATGCTAAAACAGAGAGAGCCTATCAGAAAAGCAGCTCAGGAAATACAGCTAATCTTCTTTGGTATCTGAAATGAAATGACTAATTGTTTCTTTTTAACCATCTTAACAAGGAATTTCTTAATGGGAATCAGAAATTCGTGTGCCTTTAAAGCCAAGTATTTGGCTTCTACAGTGTTGGTATTTCCCCTGCAAATGTAAATAGGGGCATAAGGTGGGAAACAAAAAATTGCTTTGGATTTTCTTTTTGTTATTTTTTCTAACATCCACTTGCTGTTTCCCAGAAGATGCCCAGGCACTCAAGGAAAATTTCTGGCTTAGTTGTTCAGCCAACTCTAGAGCCATTGTTTAACCATTTTACGTAACAGATGAAGAGGAAATGCTCAGATTTTTATAGGAATCACCCTCATAACACTGGCAGTGTAGGAATAGTGACTAGTTTGGTGGAGTTAGCAACCATCTCTACTACAATGCTTTGCTGTAGATTGCAGCACATCCTGGAAGTGAACTGGAGATAAAACCCAGATTTACTATCTATACCTTTCTTATGTCTGAACAAAGCTACAGCACAACAGAACAGCCATCTTGGAGATGAAACTCACATCCAGTCCCAGTTTTCCATTTCCTTTGCTGATTTAGTCATACTTGCAGCTTAACCACAGTTGCTTATTGTACATGAACACGAGTGAGGTACACCCAAAGTGTCTGGGTGCCTAACCTGGAAGGAGGTCTGGAAAGTCTGACTTCTGGGAGACATCTGAACAGAAAAAGGGAGTGAGAAGTTCACTGAACAAACGCCCTTTCTCTGGAAGCCTGACTCTCTCCAGGGCCTGTGCTCTCCGTGCTCTCCTTCCTTCCTGTCACTCTTGCAGCATTAAGCTGGCGCAGCATAAATTCGGCTTGTGGAGGTCAAGTGCAAGAAACAAGACCCTGTGAAATGATGCTCTGGCTGCTTTACAGCCACACTCTTCTGCATTTGAAACTCTTCTACAGAGTTCAGACACTGGCCTTGTGTCTTGAAGATAAATCATTAAGAGGCACCCCACTAAGAGCAGTCTAGGACAGTGTGTGGAGATGGACATGCATGACCTAACCATTGCCCCAAAGGGAACAGCACTGTAGAGTATCAGCTGCCTGCTCAGAAAATACTGATGAGGGAGAATTAGCACTGACAATACACGTAACATGATATGCATGTAAACAAAGCATGATGTTACTGGCACAGCAGTATTGCACTACCAGGCCATTGGTAAAGCAATTCAGCCAGATGGATTTTGGTATTTTATAAACCTGTGAACCTCCTAGGCAAGGCTGAATGTAGTATACTGAGCAAAATCTGGAGCCCCTAGTATTTCTGTCCAAAGTTTGGGGCCTTTCTGTAACAACCACCAGCACACCCAGTGCAATGCAACTCTCTCCTCTGTCCTGTTGCTCAGCCTCAGGTGACAGGTTCCATCCACCATGGGAACTCTTCCTGTGGTGTCCTTCTAGGACCTGATACCAGGGCACTGAGATGAGGAGAGTTGTGGACGTATTCATGTCTGGTATGGTTACACAGGCAGCTCCAGATTTCAAATGTTTAAATAAAAACTGTTCATCTAAATATATATATATATATATATATATCTGTCATCTAATGTCTTTAGCAGATAAAGCATCTTAGGACATATTTAAATAAAAAATAATAATCTAAATTGAGCCTTCAGTGTTAAAGAAAAAGTGATGTACAGAATAGGTCCCCAACTAGTGCAGTCTCTGGGTGTGGGAGTGCTGGCAGAACAGCAGCATTCAGTAGGACAGAAGTCCTGTAACAATGTGGACTTCATTGGCTACAACTAAAACCATTTACACAATCTACAGTCACTCACTTGGGTCCAGTGGAGAGTTGCTTTAGATGCTCAGAGGAACCTGTAATGTCCTTATGCTCAAGAAGCACTGTGTTCCAGGCTGCCCTGCTCATCTCCTGGTGCCTGACCCTGCAGGCTGGAGTGGCGTGGTGGATTTGGTGCTGCTATGTAGCCCTTCCAGGGTGGCGTGGAGCTGAGGGAGCCACCGTTTTCCAGTGTGGAAGGGCTTTGAGCTTGAGACTGTTGCTGGAAGCAGGAGTCCACACGTGGTTTCCTTCACCTTCAACTACAAGTGAGGAAAAAGGTGGTTAATGTCCTAGTAACGAGAGCTGATTGGTGGAAGTCTAGCACAGCTGGATTGGTATGGAGACTGGATGAACATAGTTCTGTGGGTTTTGTGAATGAGAAACACAAAGATGCTGAGATCCAGGCAAAATCTGCCCCAGATTTGGACTCCTATCTGTAGTATTTAAGGCAGCAGCCAAGTCTTGTTTGCATCAGTTGTTTAGGTACAACTCCTTGTGCTGTGGATTCAAACAGCTCAGACGACAACAGGGGCTGACTTTTGCTAGGCTGCTTTTAACCCCATCAGTTCATCAAAGAACTGAGAGACTGCCTCTCACCTTAAGTTTTCTTTTCCAAAACTGCTGTTTTTTGGAGAGCCCAGTTCAGGGGTGGGGGTCAGTCCAGCACACACGTGTGATAGCTCTGCTATTGGTCTTGCTGCTGACAGAGCAGTGCAGACAAAGGCTTCCTCCCAGTGTGCTGCTGGTATATGCTTGCTTTAAAGAGCAACATCAGCACGTTCATTGGCTGGTGAGATAGCACTTGTGCTTGCTGTGGACTATTTAAGCAGCCTGCAGTTTCCTAGATTATATAGAAAGGATAACCAGTTCTCTCACTGCAGGATTTCCTGTGAGAGGTTCTTTGCTCCATGTTAGGCAGGAATTGTCCCTGACCTTAAAAATTAGTGACTGCTGGGTTATGGAAAAATTCCCTATGAGGATGGCCTGGTTTCTCTCAGATGGTAGAAAATAGGACCAAAAGAGGGAAAAAAACGTACAGTGAAAAACTTCAGTGTGCACAAGAAGCAGGAGTTTGGTTTTATAAGGTGAGTCTCAGCAGCACCATGTAATATTTACTCTCCAATTTTCTGAGGCTTCTGGACTTTTTAAAACTTTGTATAAAAGCTGCTGAAAAATGATAATGTGTGAGTACACATCCAGCCAAGAGAGGGCAAGGCACAGGCGAGTCTATTGTATCCTCAGCCAAAACATACTCCCCTATGTGGAAATAGTGCATCTGCTATACTAGAGATTGCAATTAATCATGTCCCCAGAATGCCATTCTTAAGTGTATTACTAAGCTCTGATTTTATGATTAGTCTTTCAATGCATTTAATTTATAGAAAAGAAATCTTTTCAAAAACTCGCTTCAATTAATTTTGGCTACAGTAAATTGCTGGGAAGCGTTTATCAATTGTTGCAGCTCTGAGCTGCAATGCTGTGACTGTTGGAAAGTGATAAGAATAGCGTGAACAAAAGGGAGAAGAAAGGGCAGTGGAAGTGGGATTCCTCTGGCTTACAACCATAGCCTTAGGGTTGCAGGGGGGACAGCCCTTGCAACAACAAACAAGTTCTTGTGCTCCAGAAAGCATTTCTCAACGGAGAATTTTGGATTTGGAATGTGCTAGGCATGGTCATGTGGTAGTGAGCAAATTTTAGGCCAAGAGCAAAGCAGCAGGAGGTTTTTTGAATGCAAGACACATTCAAGCAAAGCCTGAATTCTGGCTTTGGACTACCACTTCTGGTGCTCCTCAGGGTGACTGGGATTGCATGTCCTTATCTGCTTAAAAAGGAAAGCACCAGGTTTCTGGAAATCACTCGGTGCAACAAAGGGCACTTGAGTTGACCCTTGGTTTTCCTGTTCTTGATTTGCTCTGATTTAGTATCAAAGGTACAGATCATAGCTGTGTCAGATTAACCTCTTTCCAGCTGATACAAAAAGAAATAAGTTGATGATTAACTTCAAACCAGTTGCTGGTTTGGGTCACTCACCATCTCAGACTTTCACAGAGGCTGGTGGCATCACAAGTTGGTTCACCCTATAGGAGAGAAAACAAGAGTGACATGAGAGAGCTGCACTTAGCTAAGAAATAGACTTCTTAACATACCAGCCTGTTAAATCCAGGTGCCTGTTTCGTAAGAGTTTCTAAAGAGACAGGATGTTAATAACTGTCCTGTACTATTGCATAAAGCTGAAACCCTTTCACAGTGGCGTCTGATAGCAGTTCTGACAACTGTTGGAACATGCCAAGTCATATTGCAACACTAATGGACAAGGATTTGGGAAGGCCCCAAAGGCATTCAAACATAGCAACCGTTTCCCTAAGCCAGTAACAAGACCGTGTACACAGTGGCTTTTGAACGGTGTCCTTCAGACTTGACAGCATAAATGTAAACAGCCACCACTGATAAAAGTGAAATTAAGAAGAAAGCCCTGACAGAATCTCTGCCAAAGGTCCAGCCAGGTAAGAACATCATGGTGAAACACCACTTTCCTTTGGAAGATGCTGATTCATTAAAACTCATCATTGCCTCCTCACCAAACTTCGTACCTGACCCAAGGTACTGCTGAAAAGGGATGGGGCTGTGTTAAGACATGCTCCAAGATGAAAATAAACCAGTGGTTAAGGGCCACCTTCCAAGAAATCTCTGCAGCCTAGATGCAAGATCCAACATTCTATGCATTTCTCCAAGGTCTCTTGTCTTTTTGCATTTCAAAGCTATAAACTGAAGTACAGTTTATGCAGGATGCTGGCCCACATTTCTTTGTAGGATTATTCTTGGTAACTCTACTGCAGTGGGCATTTTAACCATGCTTTAATTTTCAGAATACATCACAGAGCTAAAATATGACCTGGTAAAGCAATTACTTTAGAAGCAGGATGTAAACTATGATATTTTTGAAGCCAGCAGAAAACACTAAAACAGATGTTTGAATGCTGTAAAGCTCTGAAAGTAATGTCCAAGATTCAGAGTACGTACAGAAAACGTTTTGACACAACTTAGAGAACCCACCTGCACTGCTGAGAGGTGAACTGTAAATGTACCTAAGACTTTGCTTCTTGTGTTACTTATGGTTCAGCTTCCCATGGAATGAAACCCACCTCCCACAGAAGCACTTCTGTTATCCCCAAGTCTCAAAAATTGCTAGTCGTTTGCATTTTAACAGGTATCTCTCAGTTTTGCTTTATCTCTCCTTTACAGATGGGAGCAGAGGCCTAGAGGGGCTAATTCTGAAATGCATTTAGAAGATTTCACAGGAAATCAGAGCCCACAAGACTTTTGAGAACCTGCTGGGGACAGAGTTGACTTTCAGGAATCGCATCGGATGTGGGCAGAACTGAGAACTGAAATAGTCTCCAAAATCTCACACAGGGCAGTTTTCATTCTTTCTGAATCACTGTAGTGCAGACAGTGGTCACTGACTTACAGCCTGATTTCAATGAAGCTCAGCTTCTCAGCTTACAATGGCAGCTGGTCAGCTCTGCATTTATTTATTTTTTTAAAGCAAAAATGCTAATAACAAATTTCAGATTCTCTTAGGTGATACGTCTTCCATGGACTTAAGAAAACAAGACTAAAGAGGATGTAAATCCTCATTTATGGCCCACTTGTCTTTCTAATGATGATAACCCCACACTGACCAGGTTGGTGCTTCCAATCTGGGGGTATCTGCTGACTAAACTTGACTTCCTAAGTTGTTCTACTTTCTCCACATTGTTTTCTCAAGATGGTGAATGTTTTCATTCCTTGAAGACAGTGGGGTGGGAACCACTCTGTTATTTCCTGAAGGGGAGGAAACTGACCCAAATTGCCTTTCAAGAACAGAAGCTGCACAACTTTTTTTTTTCCTTTTTTTTTTCCCCTCGTGCTTCTCTAGTAGTTAAAATGAGACTGACTCCTTCTAACCCCGTCATTTCCTCCCCTGTCAAACCCAAATAGTTCTCCTAGATCCTATCAAGCTATTTCCATGTAATGTGACAGCATCTATAATTCTCAAGCATTTATATGACTGTCTGTTTAATATTAAACTACATGCTCTAAAGCTGTTAAATATTTATGCTGCGTAAAATGCATCTAATTTCCCAGCACCTCAGCCAGTGACAGAACTGCATAAGAAAAAGATGACAAATTTAAGATAACAGATGAGTGGCCAAGTCCTTTACAGGTCAGCTATACTCTAGTCTCAGTTTCAGGAACTGCAGAGATGATTTTCCAAATTCTCTTTTCCTTTCACTGCAGCTGCTCACCCACCCCACCAACACTGCAGATTAGAGTTTGCAATACAGACTGTAATTGCAGGTTGTAGTAACAGTGTACACCTCTACCTCTGTAACAGCTCCCAGCTCAACAGAATGAGGCTTCGATGCCCACATCACATCCACGTGTGCTCACCCCGTGTCAGCAAGAATAAAAGCATTTCCCTTTTCATCTTTATTTCTATCTATACACAACCTAAACAACACTCATATGCTGGTATCCTACAGATTGCCATGCAACCCATTTTCTTGCTATCTAAACAAGTCAGGCTTTGGCTTCTGTAATGGAGAAGCATATTAGGAAACGGTGTCCTAATTTTTACAGCCCGCTGTACTTAACATCACTTAATTTTTACAAGCAACAATAAAATGCTTCAATGAGGTCCTTCTAGCCTGCAAATAGCTCATTATTTGACTAACAAGAGCTCATTCAGTAGACAAGAGTTTAGGGCTACAGGGGCAGCTAGATCGACAGTGGCCTCAGCAGAAGGGAGGGTAAGTAAATCCCTGCTGAAGCCAATTGCCAAAACACATTAATATTTTAGTAAACAAAGAAGGGAAATGGACACAAATTTACAGACCATTCCACTCATGTTTTCCACTATTGTCTGCATGTCAACACCCTCACAAACCCAACTTGCAGTTTGGCCTGCCAGCAAACAAACAGGTAAGTAACAAGACCAGGAAACACCTCGTTAAAAGCACACATAACCACTGGTCACATGCGATCACATATGCAGGTCACATTATTCATACTCTGCACAGACACTGCTGCCTTGTCTCACCAATATTCCACCACGCAGGAATTTAGAGCTGCATTTCCCTGGGAAATGCCTCACCTCCCTGCAGGTCTTCGAGTCAGTGAAATTCCATTGGAAGCACCAAGCGCACACACAGCCAACAGAGCTGCACATGTCCTCATGCAAAGATTTCTGACCCTGAAAACAAATCAAAGAAGACCATAGATAATCTGCCAATTTTGCTTACTGCTGAAACCAAAGCTAACTGCAGAGTGCTCATTCTGCTTGGCTCTGTACCACATTTGCTGGGTAACCAAATGGTCCCAACGATGCACTGCCTTATTGCCAGACAGGTTACCAAGAGCAAAATCAGCAGGGTGGAGACTAGTTCAATTATGTACCCTTTAAACCCTTCACTGCATGTTTTTAAATCAAGCAGAGCAGGATATAAATGTGCAAACCATTGCTGTCCCCCAGTAACAAAGGATGGCTGCAGTTTTCACCAGCAATTGGAAGGAGCTGGGCTTCCCTACTCTACAACAGAGAGTAAGAACAGCTAAATCAACGATTGCTTCCAATCAGGATGACCTGTTTTGACTGCTCTCAAGCTATTTTGATATTTAAGTCAGTAATTTTGGGCTAAGATACACAAGATTAATAACATACTCAGTGCTTTGATTTAAAAGGCTCCTGGTATGCTGTGTCTGGAAACAATGACAGAGTGAAGATGCATGAAAGGTGAGCAATAATAATACGTCAAGATAGAAAGAGCCCAGTGAGTGGTACAGGGACAGGAGTGGCACAGCTTAAAACAGTCTGTGCACTGAGCTTCCTGATCATGACAGGATCGTGCAGCCTTCCAGGAAAAGGGTCTGTTGGATGAAGCTCAGGTCAGTTTGTTACAATTTTGTAGTGCTATGCTTAGTGTTCTTCAGCAAAGAAGCAAATGTAGGAATAGCTTACATTGGAGTAGAAAAGCATTGTTTAATTGAGCTCTGCTGGCTGCTTCACTCATTTACAGCCAGAGAGGAAGCTTGGGGCCTGTGTAAATCCGAAGCCCTCCAACCCAGGCTCAGAGCTGAAGACCTGGCTGCATGCAGCCCTGCTGGCAGCCCCTGGCACAGAGCTGCCCTTCCCCCTGGAGCCAGAAGAGGTGGCTCAGTCTGTGCTGATCAGCAGCTCTCATGGGGACAGCCTGACAGGAGCTGCATGCTGCTGGTGACAGGTGCTCTTTCAGCTGCACTAAAGAAATGAGTTGGCTTAAATCCCCTTTTTTTCCTGCACATCAGTGGGTTTACTGAACAGAATACAATGATTGTGTACAGCAAATACATTTTTTCTCTCTGTTTGGTACAGCCTCTCAAAGCTGCCCAGACTCAGTTACTATTTTCCATCTGTTCACTTAATCCAGGTGCTGACTATATGTTTGCCCCCAGAGGAAGAAGCATAGGTCAGCTTCTATTTACCCTCTTTCGCAGATCTTACAAGAGGAGAACACTGTCGTAAAGAAAGAAACTAATAACCTTTCCTTCTATTTTCCAGGCAGCTGCAACAGAACGGATCTGAATACGAGCAGTTAATAGCACTCAGTAGGTACCAAGGACTTGGATGGAAGTGAAGTCTGCCTTACTGCTCTGCAGTGGTATGCTAATGTGGACTCCTGAAGCTACTGAAGATGCAGGTCTCTGAGGCCCTCAGAGCACTGGGCTTGAATCTGTCCCTGTGTATGTAATTCTGCTGGATAACGATGGGCTCAGAGGTAAGATGATCAGTTTTCTACAGCCATGGAAGATGTGGATAACATCATACTCTCGTGTGCACTGAAATAATGGAGGAAAGAGAAAGCAGAGAGTCTTGATCTCTTCTTGGCATGATCGAACAGGAAAGGGAAACAGAAAATACCCTCCAGAATAACTACCTCATAATACAGCTCTTTTCAGCAATCTAAGCTACCAGGTGTGGGGAACTGTCCTGCTTTGCTCTGCATAACAGTCTGGGAAGCCCTTTCTGGCACATGATAGTGGTCTGGCAGCAACAATC